ATTACCTGGTTAAATAATGGATAAATAAAAATAAAAAAAATAAAAATTGCTCAGAGCAGGATGAATTGACAGTTCAACAGAGCCATGGCTCTGGGTGAGTTTGTTAACTGTATCAAAAATATATCCAGAAGTATTCTTATTCTCCTCTGGTAATGTGAGGAGTATGCTGCTCTTGCTTTATGAATAGTCAATATATACAGCAGTAAACTGTTTTTCCAGAGTAGGTAGGATTCCCATAAGCATATAGAGTGCCATTTCCTCTCCAGTTTCCTAACATTTTGCTTCAAAGTGTGAAGCTTTGCATTTAACCAGGAAGCTTTCTATTTCTATCAGCTTAGAACATGTGGTCAGAAAAATCTCTTTCCTATCAAATCTCTTCACAATATTTTCATAGGAGTGCTCACACCTGCAATGTAACAAGCAGGACCAAGAATTACAACCAAAAACAGGATTTTTTTTTTTTCAAGCCAAGAGAGCAGAGACACCGATCACAGACCAGGAAAATCTTTTTGGGGTTTGAGGGCAAACTATGAGAGTTTCTGAAGAAGCTGGTTGGCATGTGATGTCACTATCGAACCTACCTGGACGAATTCCTGAATCCGTCCAGGTAGGTTTGAAGGAATCTTTCTTTGACAGTTATTAATTGGTCCAGGGAAATGCACAGGGTCTGATCCATGGGAGCAGAGACAGGCAGAATGATCAAGGGGAAAAACCAGAATTCAGGATCGACAGCAGGTTGAAAATCAAAGCTAGGTGATCAGTGATCCAGAGACAATCCAGGGGAACATCCAAGAGCGAGGTCAGGGCAGAGAAAACAGGTCAGCGATAAAAAAAAACACACTATGTCAGGTCTGATAGGGTCCAGGCAGGTTCGGGGAATTAGGTTAGAATCAGGCAGAGAGGCAGGTAGCTGGAATGCAGGATTAAACTCACCAGTGGCTTTTAATAATCTGGCACTGACTGCCAGCCAGAGGGCTGAATATGAACACAGGACAGGTAAGTGGCATGATGCTGACTGAGTAGCAGTAAACTGGTGGAGCACATAAGCTTGATTGCTGACAAGGGTCATAGGGGTCAAATAGAAGGGAGAAGGGCCAGAATGATAACATGCAAGGCAACACATTGTTTGGCTGAGAGGGGTTATTCTCAACAGTACAGAAGATACTAGAATGGAAGATATTTGTTTTTTTCATCACAGTTCAGACTCCTTCCTCTCAAGGTTCTTTCAACATTTTACTGTTCTCCTCCCACTGTATGTAATTTGTTTTTAAATATGAACAGGAAAAACCTATGAAGCTGCCTGCAGGCTTCTTACAGTAAGTAGTTAAGGAAAACCTGTGTGATTTAAAACAGGCAGGGATAATGGAAACAGTATTTCTGTCCTCCCTGTGAAGTTATTTGACAAATTGCCGCCTTGAATGAAAAATACCGGACCTTATTTTTCCGTCAACAAGCATCATCTTTATTACTGTAGGCAAAGAAACCAAAGTGAAGCACATGCTTCAAGAAAAGAGTAAACGTCTATATAAAGTGATTAGAAATTCTATTATACACCTGAGTGTAATACAGGGTTTTTTTAGGAGCCTTTATAGTCCATTAGAGGAAATTACTTCCACAGTCAGAAAATTGTGCAATTTACATATTTAATACACCCTTTTGACCCATGCTATCTGCATCAGAACTTTATCACCCTCATGAAAGGCTAATTTGAGCAGGCAGGTTGAGTAAAGACAAATTTATTTTGTCATAAGAGGGCCTGCAGGACATTCCTGCATAAAGACTCAGTACATTTCTACTGGAATAAAGCATATCAGAATTTAAAGAGATAATGTTCTAAGGTGAATGCTTTTCTTTTTTTAAAATACATCAGTGACAGTGAAGAAACTTTTCCTGATTCTTTCACTTCATCTTCCAGACAATCAAAGTAAAATAAAGTCCTTTTTATTTTCATTCTAAAAAGTTTTAAGTTGGGTATGGGAAAGTTTCTGGCAGGCATTGAAACACTTTTATGTTTTTAAAGTAAAAGGTCAGCGGGTTCTTCCTGAGTCCAGCTCATGGTCCAGAGTGTTCTCTGGATGTCGGTCATCGGTCATTCAGCGGGCAAAGCAGAGACACTCCAGATGGAATCCATCACCCTGAGGGATTCAGGCTGATGTTTAGTTAGTTGTTTCAAATCCAAAAGCAGCTTTCCTTTCGGGAACGCTTTTACTGTAATTATAGACAAAATCCCATACTTGATACATACAGAAGTCAATAAGCTGCAAGTTTATTTAAATCGAAAAATATTCATTACTCTGAGGACTCATAGCTAGTTGCCCTTACAGAGAAATTCAGTAAATTTTATGTGTTTTGCACATGTGAAATTCATTTTCATGTGGCTCACTTTTCAGTCACATGTATGTATTATATGTAAAAGTACATTTATATATGTAGATTTGAGCACATTAAGAGCACATGTAATTTACATGTTTTTGCATGTGATTGCCGTGTATTTCAATTGTGATACATGACTCAAATTTGAATCCTGTGCATTAAATGGCAATGAAATGTAAAAAACAACATGACTCATATATGCTTTTAACACAAATCCACACATATACATGTGACTCACGTATGTGTTCACTTTAACTTTTTAACAAATGTAAAAAGGATACTACGCAGAGCACTATCTAATGATACTCACATGGAAAACAAACCTTAATGTCGTACACATGCGATAACATCTTTCACATGTGATCATCTTAATTGAAAGGTATTGATCTAACATATGAGAAATTTACCTCTGCATTTAACCCATCCCCTTGGGGAGCAATGGGCTGCCACCGTAGGGTGCCCAGGGAGCAGCGTGAGGCGAAGGGTCTTGGCTCGAATCACTTTTGAAAGTCATGGGATTTGTCTAAAAGGAAAGACCAGCTTGGATACATTTGAACTCTTCTCACTGCTGTATTTAAATGAAGCGAAAAATGCAAGTATAGCAAAATCTTAGGGTCTCTTGGCTTATTCCAATTTTAAAATAAATGCACTGTGAGCATTTTGACATTTTCCTCACATCACTCTTAAACGGGATGGTTGCCTGAAAATCAGGAAGCAATCAATGCCTTAGTAAGGACATGAACTTCAAATAACATTGGGATGTAGGAAGAATGTGGCGACTTGTAACATAAGAATAGGAGGCATGTAGGAGAGTTAAGCAATACAGGAAGGAGATAAAATGAAGGAGTGCAGGGTGTCTTTACATGCACTGGATAGAAAAAAGAAATCTTAATCACAGAAAAACATTAATCACAGTTGGCTTCAAATGGCTATTAATTAATTTTGCAATATTTTATTTTGTAATAGCTCTTTTTATCTTCCAAAATAAAGAGAGGACGAAATGTGGTTGTGTGTTGCTTCTTCTTACTTGCTCTTCATATAACAGGAATTATGCAGGGTATTACATAGTGATACAAACATAAGAAAATGAATTAGTGTTAATTGTGAGTTACCTATGAAGAAACATATGAAGTGCCAAGACTAGATAGTGACATATATTGTATAAAAAGAAATCTATATCAGTCAAAGGCTGAAACTTATTACTGGTGGGACGAGATACAGTTCTTTATTGAGTTAATTATAGAGTTTTGTAGAGCTTTTTGATACTAAGCTATAATAATCTGAGCTTGTTAAATGGAGGTAAAATGATCTATTTTAATTAACTTTGTAAGAAACTTTATCTGTTCTTCTGTGTGTGTGAAGAAACCAAAATAAGAGGTTGGAATAAAGCAGCATCAGATTGGAGATGAAAAAGGGGAAGTTAAATACCTGCAGAAATCAATACCATCCACAAAGTATACATCAGCATCACATTATGCAGAAAGGATTGTAACTTAAAAAAGACTGCCAAAGGAAAGTGTCTACTGAATCCATATTTAATTTAACCATACTGAAATTAGTAAGGATTAAACTAATTTGGTTGAGTGAAATAAGAAGTAGAATTTCACACATTAAAGCATCTGTTAATATATCTGGATATATGAATCATAAGGAAACTTAATGAATTAAATTAGATATCTGAAGCTCCAACTATTTGCTTTTGCTCATTAAGAACAATGCAATTTACTTCACAAAAAATCAATGTAAGGTTAGCAACATAAACGTTATAAAAAATATAAATAATTTAGTATTATTTACATTTTTTTTGGAAGGTTTAAAAGTTGGCCTATTCTCATTAAAAAACTGCAAAATATTTGTTCTTTCATCCTTGTACAATTAAATCTAATTGTTCAAAATGTGTTCCCCTAAAGAAAAGCAGAAAAAAACAATATTAAGTCATAATTATTATTATCAGTCTAGTTTGCTTTATTGGCATGCAGAAAATATCTTAACACAAAACATGGTGAAAGAAAATGATGATATTGATGTTTATAACACTTTTTTTCCCTTTTTTTTTTTTTTGCAATTTGCTCACATAGGAGGTAGAAAGTTATATCCACTGTCTTGGACAAATCTGCTCTAACAATAATATAACAATTCTTGTGATGTCATAATTTCTTCTGGGTCATAAATGAACATAAATGTGCTGCTTTTTCCCCTAGTTAAGGTTGTGGATGTGTGCAGTTTTAGGGCATCTGCCAACTCTTTCTGTCAGGAAAGAAGAAGGGGAGAAAATTTATGGGATTCAGTTTGAACTTTTCCTGGTTTCGGGTCAGAGAGATAATCACCCGTATCGGCACATTTTTTTTTCTTTTTTACGCAGAGCCCTCCTATCTTTCCTCCACCGCTTCAGCACCTCAGCCTGCCGGATCCAGCTGCTCCTCTCTTATTATAAGCTGCGCTCCAGTCGCGCGTCTCCACTCCAGGATGGACTCCTCTCGGTCTCCTTCTGCGCATCTTTGTCCCCGACTGTAGTTTTGTGGGAGTTCCTTCCTTCAGCAGGAATCGAGTCTTGGTCTTTTTCTGCTCTTCGCTCAGTATTTGACTGAACAGCGACAGCGCAATCCTATCAGAGCTGCAGTCCAGAAATGGGAATATATCTGCATCTGCTGCTCTTGCAGAGCTATTTTGTCTCGAATTTTGTGTGCAATGCCGTGGCTTTCGTGGAGGAGCCCGCCGGAGGCAGGTCGGACGGGTACTGCGGGCGGATCCTTCGGGCGCAAACGCAGGGGACCCGGAGAGAAGGGCACCATGAGTTCAGGCTTAGGGTAGAGGGAGACCCGGAGACCTACCTGCCGGGCAGCACATACAGAGGTACATATCCACTTTTCCTCTTCTGTTAATATTTACCCAACTGAAAACAAAAGTACTTCTTCAACATATATTTTTATTTACACACCAATTTTCAGTCTTGTTATCTTTCACAACATTCCATAAGTGTAAACAGCAGCCTCAGGGGAGCCAATTTTCAAAGAAAGTCTTCCTCAGTCTCCTGCTGGGAGGATACTGGTTTGATAAAGCTATTAAGTGTTATAATCTGTGGCCTATATTCACTTCCTCCTCTCTTCCTGTCAGAAAGTGGGCGCTCTCATATAACAGCAGGCAGATACAGGCTCTGAGACAGACAGATCTGGATCCAATTAAGTTGACAAAACAAAGTTCCCATCCGGCCAGATGTGTTTGGCCATAATGAAACAGGGCAACTTTCTCAGAGTGATTACAGATGAGGTCAGAAGAGAGTCTGAAAAGGTTTTCAACTGAAACTTGACTATTTCAACCGTGCAGCCAAAAAGAAAGACACAAAAGATAGAAATTAATAGTCTATATTCAGTTTTCTTTTGTTTCTTTAACCCAATTTTGGAGCTTAAATCTCATATATGCCTTTCAAGTGATTTAAACTGAGATTATGTTTATGCAAAGCAAAAAAAAAAATTATGAAGGAGAGGAATGAACATTTAGCACTTAAAGAGTCATCTGAATTTGCCATCCTTCACTGTATCCTGCGCAATATCCCTACAGTGAATTCGTACAGTATCTTTTTTTATTACAAGTTTCTTCCATAAACCTTTCCATTATTTCAAACATTACAAAGCCAAACTCAGTTTACTTTATTAGAATTGTATATATATATATATATATATATATATATATATATATATATATATATATATGCAAAGACAATGATAAGTTCACTTTTTTAACCAGAATCTGACGTTTGAGTTGTGTTTGTATTTATCTTTCTTTGGTCAATAACTTTGTCAAACTTTTGCTCCGTTTTTCTGTAGCCCTCATCCAGTATTCCATATTTGAAACTGAAAATTAACCATCTTTCTCTTAAGCTTATTCAGTTGTAAGGAGAGCATCTGTCAAAAGCATTTTCGAGTGTTTAATAAACTAATATATTGAGGTTAAACTATTTAATAGAAACTATATGTTGTAAGGTTGCCTAGCTGGAATGTGAACTAGTCTTTTCCAAGATTTTCCACGACTGTGCTATATTTTGCTTAAAAGCGCTTAGTCACATTATCTATCTATACCAAAAACACCAAAATTCAATTGATTATGATAAAATAAAGCTATATACCTCAAATGTCTGTGCTACTACAGTAGTGTTTTGATAGTCCTATTTGAGCCTAAATAGAATCCCAACACTGGGCAAAGTGAGCTTACATAAACAGATGTGGCGCCATCTACCTGCAGTACTGCTGAAGTACGACAAAGCCAGATGGTGGCAATTAAAGCAGCAATTAAATAAGTTCTGACTGTGCCGTAATGAAAAGTGAAAGCCTGGAGGAAAGGGCTGAAAGGCAGACACCAGGAGCACTGTTAATGACGACATGTACTCATGTATCTATTTAGTTTTTTTAAAACTACGCTGGAAGTCACAGACTCTTTCCAAAACAAGTTAAAAAACAACCCACTGGACTTGGTTTCCAAGTTTGAAGACGGTTCGCTTCCCATCCAGGAAGCTTTTCAATTCAAAATGTCAGAATTAGCATTGAGTTTGAAGCTTTGTATAGTAGCCCAAAAACTTGTTTTTGCTTAGAAAGCATGCAAATTGAACCAGAAGAACAGGTACACTTTTAGGAATGGTGAGTAATTTTCATTTCTTTGTTCTTTGGGCCCTAACGATCCCCCTTCCAGAGGCATAGACCGGTATCATATATCGCAGGCTAACAAAGAAACCAAAATGACTCCCTGGAACTGTTCTTCTGGTTTAATTTGCATGATTTCTAGGCCAAAACACATTTTTGGGCTACTATATATAGCTTCGAACTCAATGCTAATTCTGACATTTTGAACTGAAAAAGCTTCCTGGATGGGAAGCGAAATGTCTTCAAACTTAGAAACCAAGTTGAGTTGATTGTTTTTTTTTTTGTACTTTTTTGGAACGACTATGACCTGGATGACTGAGAATCTTGACCAGAAAGTCCCAGACTCCTTCGTCTTTCTTCGACTAGTTGACCAGTTGTAAGCATGTGCAGTGATGTAACTCAGTCAAATAATGTTATGGAAAATATGCTCAGAAAGCTTATATTTACTGACAAATCGAGCAAAGGCAAAATTTAAAAGATAAAAATATCAAGGATTACAGTGTAAGCAGCCAGTTAATGGAGAATAAATAAATAAAAAAAAATCAAATAATTTGTCTGTGTGCCTTTAAGCTTTTCCCATCAACTCTGACCAGCTATGCTGCTTCAGCAGAAGACATGCATCATCACAATGTGATACTTCCACCACCATGTTTTCAGTGAAAGCAGCTTTTATACTGAATAAATGCTTTAAATATATCTATCTATCTTTACCACTTTTCTATAAAGACCGTGTTTGTGGACACATGTCCTATGAACACACACTCTAACAAATGCAACCCCTCCAGGGTGACAACAGGCATCTTGTCTGATTCCCTGATTAATGCTCTTCTCGTCTGGCTGTCAGTTTGGGTCGATGGCCATGTCTTGACTTTTTCTAGCCATGTTATCCTCTTTGCATTCTTGGTAATGGATGTAAAAGTGCTCAGTGAGATGATAAAAGCTTTGGTGTGTACCCCTGGTCTTAGTGGTGCAGTTTGTTCGTTGTCTAACAAATCACAGAGGCCCTCAAAGAACAGCTGTATTTATACTGAGACTGACACACACAGATGGACTTTAATGACTAATTAGGTGAGTTCAGATGGCAGGATTTATGAAGTGGCATCGGAGCAAAGGCAGCTGAATACAAATGCATGCAATTTTTTTTAGATTTCCCTTTGATAGTTTTTCCTTTAAAACAATATAAATCATGATAAAATCTAATCTAATTGTTGTGCTCTGTGACAAAATGTAGAGAAGTGGTAAAAAGATTTATGTAAAGGATCAAGGCTAGAGGGATGTACTTCAATAGATTTTGGATATTTTCCTATGATTAGCAAAACATTTACACAATAAACACGAATTAACTAAACTAATTTTCCGGTAATTTGTTACCTCAACATTTTTAATTTGATCAAATTAAAAGCAAGTTTTTAGAAATTTCATTTTATATTTTAGTTGCTTCTCCATTCAGATTTCAGTTTGATTAAATGAGTTTATCACACCTACTCAAAACTTATGCTTCTATTTAAGGCTCTCAAATACTTTCATTTGCTTTATTATTGATGCTCATTTGTTTCATTATCCTTCACCCTTAACACAAACAGGTCACATATAGATTTAAGAAAATCCATTGCCTCCAACTATTTAAGTCAAACTATTAAATAGAAAATCTAATTAATAACATTTAACATTTTTGCCCCAATAATTAGGTATTAATATTTTAACGTACAGTCTTATTCCATAAAATGTACTTAAGACCAGTAAATTTCATACATTGACATGTATTTTCTTTTTTTATAAGCATTTACATTAATTTTATTCCTTTATATAAGAGGAACATGTATATTTAATTGTAAGTTAAGAAAAAAATGAACATTTAAGAAATATTATACTGTAACATAAAGCCACATTCAATGAACCGGATCAGATCTGTGGTTAAATTTTTTTCTGCAACTATATTAACCTTTTTTTTCTTCAAATAATTACACTCAGACAGAGTGAAGATTTTATAGCTTTTTATTTCGGTTCATTTTAATTTAGCACTTACAGCTTATAACAAAGAGGAAATTTAAGATTAGAATATCACTGTAGAATGATTCAAATAATAATTTTAAATATCGAAATGTTGCCTTGATAAAATAGATGCATATAAAACATCTGCTTTCGGTATATTTTGAGAGGTTATATTAACCGTATCGGCCTACACGTTCGTTTCAACATGATAATTCTAAAATATCCTTGAATTCATTCTAGCAATCCATTAAACAGTTAAAGTCTTCTACACTAGAGTAACTATATATAGCATAAACAATGTTTTTGTAATTGGTATTGGATCTTTTATACTTTGAATAAAAGGAAATCTCCTTCATATATGATGTACTTTATGCTTGAAAAGTGGTAACTGTTTAAATGACACATATGCCTATAATGATTTTTGTATGTCTATGTAGAAGAAAATGCTAAGAAGTAGGTTTGCAACTTATTGATTCATTAATTTATCTGAAGTTGATCTTATTGAGCCACTTCCCATTAATTCATAAGAGCCCATTTTATCAAAACCTGAACTTTATCGTCTATTAAAATGATCTCTCCATAACAAAGGCAGAATATTTTTCTTTATACAATATACTGAATAAAAAAAGAAGCTGTGCATCATTATTTGCACCTGTATATTCTTCCACCTGTGTTAAATACTGAGTGAATAAATAGCTTTCTTTTTAATGTAATCAGCATTTTGTGGGAGAGACGTTGTTCTGTTAGCAGCCCTTTGAAACGGGACGTACTGGTTGCTCTCAGAGGAATGTTAAAACTTGGCTCCATGAAGAGCGTTAATATATAGAGAAGTCTTCCAAGCTTACTGACAGCATCTCTTTTTCTTTCATGTTAGAAGCGTTTAGCGTAACGCCCTCCATTTCTCTACAATCACAATGTCGCCTTCTGAGCAGAGAAGCTCCAAAGTTTAGGATGGACAAATGGCCGTTATTTATTTAAGAATGAACAGCTGGGCTTTCTAGTGGACTTAAATGATATTACAACTTGGATTGCAACTAGCAATTATTTTGCAAATCGATTAATCTGTCAATTATTTTTTTGTTGAATCGATTACTAATCAGTTAGCAAAATATTCCTAAAAGAAGACTGAAAAAAAAAAAAAAA